CACCACCTTTCCCCTCATGATTAAACAAAAAATCTTTATATTCTATTCTTAAATTAAATGACTATGAAGATGCAACTAAAGATACTTTAAAAGAATATCTGTATCTCCTTTCAAATGTATACTGTATTGCATTAACTATGACTATCTTTATTTCCTTTCTCTTTTTTTAAAGGTTTTATTTATTTAGTTTTGGAGAGAGGGGAAGAAAAGGAGAGAGTGAGGGAAAGACACATCAATGTGTGAGAGAAACATTGATCAGATGCCTCTTGAATGTGCTCTGACAGGGGACCAAACCCACAACCCAGGCATGTGGCCTTACCAGAATTGAACCAGTGACTTTTTGGTTTGTGGGACAATGCCCTGCCCACTGAGTCACACCAGTCAGGGCAAGTTCACAATGTTTTCTTGAGTTAATTTTCAAACATACACTATTGCAAATGTGTTTACTTGCAAGTACAAAGGTCTCCCTCTCCTGTACACAACAATCTCCGCAAAAATGTGAGGCCCCAAGGAACCCTGGGTTATATCTATGTATCAGAAAGAACCAATAGGGGACAAGATTGTGGAGGAGTGAATGGAAGTCACACTGACTTCCTCCCAGGACCAATCTGGAATTACTATTAAATTGTGGAGAAATCACCCAGAACGAACAACTGAATAATAGCGAGAGAGGAGCCTTCAAACCTCGGATGGCCAGAAGAACAAGCTTTAGCACAACCTAACTGGTAAGGAGTATGGTGGAGACTCGAGAAGGTGGGCTGGGCACCCACAGGCAGCAGCGCCAGAGCGATATTTAAGCAGCCAGTTGGATCCCCCTGAGAAGAGTGGGGTCTAAACTATAAGCAGGGATTGCAAGCCTACTGCACCAGAGCCCAAAAAGTACACCATTAACAGCCAGGTGTGAAAAGCAACAGGATTGCTCTCTGCCAGAGACAGGCAGCTGGAGACACAAAGAGCCATTTAAAGGGCCAATGTGGTAGAATCAAGATGGCAAAGGAATATCACACTGACCTCCTCCCAGGACCATCCTGGAATTACAACTAAATTGTGGAGGAAATCACCTGAAACAAACAATTGAACAATAGCGAGAGAGAAGCCTTGTAACCTCGGAGACAGAACAACCAGCTTTAGCGCAATCTAACTGCCACTTACCCTGGTCTCCAGCATAGGCAGGGGAGACGGGCTAGAGATACCAGAGGACAGACTGGGGAAGGAGGCTTTGAGGGGAGAGCTGAGAGAGTAGCTGGGGGCGGGGGGATCTCAGTGCTGACTCATCCCCCATGCAGCAGCCGCCATCTTGCTCAGGCAGAGACCACACCCCATGTGTGGCACCAGTGTCAAAGGACCCAATAGCCCTTCCCCCAGGTAGGAATCCACCCTGCTCTGTGCTGTCTAAGCCACCTGCTGAGTGCAGAATGGCAGCCACAGACAGTAGACTCCTGGCCAAAGCGGGCACAGAGAGGTCTGGAGACACCTAAGGACAGACTGGGGAAGGAGGCTTTGGGGAGAGAACGGAGAGAGTAGCTGGCGGGATCCCAGTGCGGACTCCTCCCCCATATGCAGCAGCATGAGAGGACCCAATAACCCCGCCCCCAGGAGGGACTCCGCCCCGCCCTGAGCTGTCTAAGGCGGCCTGCTGAGTGCAGAGTGAATAGATTAACAGCTGAAGGAGACAGCCACAGACAGTAGATTCCTGGAAGTCTTGAACAGACTGCCTGAGGTCAGACAGAGTCAACATCTGACGTCATCAGAGGCAGATCCAGAAAGTAAAAACAGCGGTCTCCAACCATAGAAGTTCACACCACAAAGTCAGGAAATTAAGACAGATCAACTTAAGAATCAGAAGCAAAAGAGAAGAGTCTCACAAATAATGGGAAGACAAAGAAATACGCCCCACTCAAAGGGAAAGGAGGAATCCCCAGAAAAAGAACTAAATGAAATAGAGGCAAGTAAACTATCGGATATTGAGTTCCAAACAACAGTTCTAAGGAAGCTCAATGAGCTTAGTGAGCTCAGAGAAAATTACCAAAAACTACAAGAAAACTATGAGGAACTTACTGCAAACTAAATCGGCATGAAAAAGGATATAGAAACTATCAACAAGAAGCAAGAAGAAATGAAGAATACAATTTCTGAATTGAAGAACACAGTAGAAGGAATCAAGGGCAGACTAGATGAAGCAGAGGATCGAAACAATGAGCTGGAGGACAAGGCAGAAAAAGGCTCCCAGAAAGAGTAAGAAAATGAAAAAAGACTGGCAAAACAGTAGGGTACAAAGTGAACATTCAGAAATTGAAGGCATTTTTGTACACTAACAATGAAATATCAGAATCAGAAATCAGGGGGAAAAATCCCATTTGCTATAGCAACAAGAAAAATAAAGTACCTAGGAATAAACTTAACCAAGGAGGTAAAAAACTTGTACTCAGAAAACTATACAACACTGAAGAAAGAAATTAAGGAAGATGCAAATAAATGGAAACATATACTATGTTCATGGATTGGAAGAATTAACATCACCAAATGTCCACCCTACCCACAGCAATTTATAAATTTAACACAATCCCCATTAGAATACCAATGACATATTTCACATAGAACAAACATTTAAAAAGTTTATATGGAACCATAAATGACCCTGAATAACCCCAACAATTTTAAAAAAGAAGAACAAAGGAGGAGGGATTTCAGTATTTGACATCAAACTATATTAAAAGGCCACTGTAATCAAAACAGTCTGGTACTGGCATAACAACAGATTCACAGATCAATGGAACAGAATAGAGAGCCCAGCAATAAACTCATGTCTCCATGGTAAATTAATATTCAACAAAGGGGGCAGAAGCATAAAATGGAGTAAAAATTGTCTCTTCAACAAATGGTGTTGGGAGAGCTGGACACCTACGTGCAAAAAATTGAAATTCGACCACCAACTTACACCATATACAAGAATAAACTCAAGATGGATAAAGGACTCAAATATAAGTCATAACACCATAAAAGTCCTAGAGGAGAACATCGGCAGGAAACTCAGATATTCCACACAGCAATATTTTCACCGATATGTCTCCTAAAGCAAGGGACATAAAGGAAAGAATAAACAAATGAGGCTTCATCAAAATAAGAAGCTTCTGCACGGCTAAAGAAAACATCAGCAAAATGAAAAGGGAACCAACCATATGGGAAAATATATTTGCCAATGATACCTCATACAAAGGTTTGATCTCCAAAGTGTATAAAGAACTCACATGACTCCACTCCAGGAAGACAAACAACCCAGTTAAAAAATGGACAAAGGACCTAAACAGACACATCTCCAAGGACAACATACAGAGGGTCCAGAGACAATATGAAAGGATGCTCGGCATCACTAGCCATGACAGATGCAAATTAAAACCACAATGAGACACCATTTCACACCAGTCAGAATGGCCGTCATAAACAAATCAATAAACAACAAGTGCTGGCAAGGTTGTGGAGAAAAGGGAACTCTAATACACTGTTGATAGGAATGCAGACTGGTGCAGACAGTGTGGAAACAGTTTAAAGTTTCCTCAAAAAGCTAAAAATGAAGCTGTCTTTTTACCCAGCAATTCTGCTGCTGGGATTATACCCTAAGAATCCCAAAACACCAATTCAAAAGAACCTATGCACCCCAATGTTCATAGCAGCATAATTTACAATAGCCAAGTATTAAAAGCATCCTAAGTGCCCATCAATAAATGAGTGGATCAAAAAACTATGGTATATTTACACAATGGAATACTCTACAGCAGAAAGAAAGAAGGAACTCCTACCCTTTGTGACAGCATGGCTAGAACTGGAGAGCGTTATGCTAAGTGAAATAAGCCAGGCAGTGAAAGACAAATATCATGTGATCTGACCTATAAGTGGAATCTAATCAACAAAACAAACAATCAAGAAAAATATAACCAGCAACATTGAAAGAAAAAACAAACCAACAGTAACCAGAGGGGAGGAGAGATGGCGGTAACAGGGAAAAGAAGGGGAAGGGTCAAGTCAAGAAACATGTATGAAGGACCCACGAACAAAGCCAAAGTGGGGAGGGATTGAGAGTGGGAGGTGGGGGTGGGTGGCGCAGGAGAAAGTGGCAACAGAAAAATGGAGACAACTGCACTTGAACAATAAATAAATAAACAAACAAACCAATACATGATATTTAAGATCTGAGATGAGGTAGTCACCTGGCTTCTGATTGGTGGATTTTCCCCAACTCCTATCTTGCTAAAGATATGGGTTTTTTTAGTAAGCAGCAAAAGATATACTTTATAGAGGCTGTGGTCTTTCTCCACAACAATGATCTCTTATGATTTCAAACACTCTAACACATGGACTCTTCCATAGTTTATAGATAATCTTTACATAATAGCCAGCAGTTCATCAGCACACCTATGTAAATTCCTATTACCCTGGTACAGTTCAGATGGGCTGCTGGGCAAAATAACAAAGAACTGGAGAATCTTAGTGGCTTGTAAACACAAATCTGTAGTTTCTCACTTCATAGCATGTCAGTTACAGTTTGAGTGAGGGATCTGCAGCATATCTCCTCGCCCAGGATGACAGAGCATCCACCACATGGAACAAAACTAGTTCTACTGTCAGAGGGAAGGGAGCACGATAAATCCCAAACTGTTCTCAAAGGCTTCCTCCAGGAGTGAGACACCTCTCTTTGAAGAAGGTTGTGCTCAACCTCAAGGGGGCAGGGAAGTATTTTCCCTGATACGTCCTGATCAGAGTATCAGTGAGAGCACAGAAATAAGGAAAAGTAGAGTAACATTTGTTAAACCTATTATGTACACCACATGATCAGGCACTTTACATTATTTCCTTCCTTCCCATTTAACCTTGTTGAAAACTCACTCAAAGTTAAAAGGCTGGAAATATTGTAGAAAGCTATAAAGCTAGGATTTAAACCTACATCATCCAACTCCAAATTTCATGGACCATTTCCTTAAACATACTACTTTCTTCTTTGCTAGACTGCCCTGATGTTCCTGAACTGCACACAAAAGTAGATGAGGCCCTTAAATTGGTCAACATATCCAATCAACAGTATATCCAGATTCTCCAGGTGACTCAGCATCATTTGGAGGATACTAAATATCTGATGGAGAAGATGAGAGAGGAATTTGGCTGGGTGACTGAACTGGCAAACCAAGACTCGGGGAAATGAGAACATCTTCAATTCCATAAAGGTAATGGAGGATCCAAGAACAGATACGGAGATTGCATGTGCGTACATTAATTTTTCTGTTAGTTTGTGTATTTGTAAAAAGCTGTAGAATATTCATATTTCCATTGTGATTGTATCTGGGCTGATTTGATAAGATACACTGCATGGTCTTTAGAAAACAAAAAGTTCTATAAAGAGAACCAATTTAAAACATAAAATATTTTCTAATCCAGATATAGCTAATTCTGCTTAGAGCTAAAGTGTTATACTGATACAGGTGACCTTGAAGAAACTTGGCCAATATAGACTTTAAGAGAGAAGACTTTCAAGTTAAGCAACTTGAGTTCGAAAGCTAACTCTGAAACTTGCCAGCTGAGTAAGTTTGGGAAGGTAAAGTTCTTCAATCTTTCTAGGTCTAAATTTTTCCACCTGGAAAATGGAACTAATAATAGCACTTTAAAATGTGTATCTGTAAAGTGATTAGTATAGGTTCCTTATGCAAAGCAGGAACTCTGTATATCATATCTCTTATTAGTTTTTGACACAATAAGCTGCTGACTTGCCTTGGAAATTAAACATATTTATATACTAACTTTCAGGTAAAAGCATATTGTCATGGACATATTCCATGTCTCTCATACTTAATAACTTCTTTTGTATAACAGATAACAGTGACTGAATTTCTTTCCTGACCTTCCCTTCCCCACCACACACATTACGTTAGTAGGCAAATGAGCCAGGCTAACAATTCCTGATGAGGTCAGTATGGATGGATACAAACCTGGATACAAAAATCACTGGACAGAGCAATTGAAGATGCAATATTTTGGGGAGCATGTAATATTGGTGGCCTATCCTGATCCCTGGGGATCCAGCTACCATCTCCAGCTGGTGCTAACTGCTTAGCCCTGCAACCGTCTCCAAAGATTTGTTCTTGGGGCTACCTATGCTCCAGAGCTTCCAGCAGGATGAGACTGAGGCTAGAGGTCACCTGAGGCCACATCCTTGACTGGCTTCTCCCTCTTCTCAATCTTGCTTGCCTCCTCCCCTTAGTAAGTCTCACCTGAAGGCACCCTTAGTAAATCACTTGTATTAAAGTCTCAGGCTCTGCTTCTAGAGAATCTGACCTATTGAATTTCTGTAAGCTAGTGTTTCACTCTCTTTGAAACTGCTAGGTTGTGGCTCATGTGTGGTTTATAAATAAGTTTAGAGAGTCACAATCAGCGCATTAAAACAACAACAAATAGAATAGTCCAAGAGAAAATATTAGAGTTCGTTACATAATGTCATACACACGTCATGAAATTTTCATTTCCATTATGTGTATGCTTATGTGTGTATACAAATATGTGTGTATACAAATATGTAGACATATGTGTGCTTTGAGTCGTGACATAAAATGTATTTGCTACTGCAGACCATAGTCAAAAGGTTTTGAAAGCCACTGCTCTAATCCCTACTGACTCTCTGATTCTATTACTCCACTAGATTATACCCTAAGAGGACAAAATAATTCAATATATTTGATGATCCTCACAAAGATAGACTTTTAGTTTAGTGAGAAAAAAGTTTTGTCTTGAAGAATAAAAATTTAAGGAAAAGTTTAGCAGTGCTTTCAATCTTTACAAAGGTACAGCCAATATTTAATTGTTTTTATGATAGTATTTTCCATTTTATGCTATAATTCTAGTGTCTCTGAGTAACACTAATAGATTTGTCTAAAATTATTTATATTCATAACAAAGGCACTTCAGTATAAAAACCTCCATATAAAATAAATTATGGTTTTTAATGGTACATTTTTAGAATAATCATCACTAAATAGCACTTACTATGTGTCAGGCAATGTTCTAAGAACTTCTCCATTTATCAGATCATTTAATACCCTCAATGATCCTATAAGGTAAGTGATATTCTTTCCCAAATTTTTAGGATGAAGCACAGAGAATTTGAACAACTTGTCTGAGAACACAGCTAGTAAATGAAAGAATGAGTATTTAAGTGCAAGCAGCATTTTCCCAGACTTGGTGGCTTACCCATTTTGCTGAACTCCTATAAAAGTTATTTTTCTCAAAACAGCTCTTACTTCACCATGTAAAAGAAAAATGCAAAGCCATATAAGAGCAAATACTGAAGAGGGACTTTGTGTAAAAAAATACACAAATTCTAGCAGGTGAAAACTATTATGCCCCTTGGGTTGTAGTTAGATGGTGTTAGCTACATAATTATTTATTAAACTAGACATAAATGCTTTATTCAGTTTTTATGTGTTATATTTGCCAAAAGGGAAGGAGGAAAAGCTATGTTAGCAATTCCTTTATAAGCTAGAATTAAGAAATTAACAGTTTTTAATGTCTTCTTAATACTTTGCTTTAGATTTTTTTAATAAAGTAATTTATTTGAAAACATTTTCAAAATAGTCCTCTTTGGGTTACATCAAGTTGCATGTCAAAACAATTTCATTTAAAATATTAAAATCAAAGTATGTGCGTGTGAGAATTCATTAAGGGAGTAACAACTATCATGCATTTCAGATGACTGGTGCTTGCAAAAATCATACACACAACCATAATTTGTAAATTTCCTAGGAAAATTCAATGTAAAACTTGGTGCATCCTGTTAATATTTTCTCACTCACATTTTCCAGCTCCTCTTACAGTTAAGTCATACCATGTGGCCAGCTCTTGTCAATCAATATGAACAAAAATGACACGGGTTATTTCTAGACTGAGATAATGAAGAGCTGTATGGTTACCCATTCTCCTTCTCTACTGAGGCCACAAAGAAAGCCATGTGTTCCATATGCTATAGCCAAGAGAAAACATTACTTTATCAACGAGAGTCTTGAGTAAATAGGTAGTACAGAACCCTTAGTGGACATATTACATGAGTGAGAAATAAATTTTTGTTGTATGAAACCACTGGAATGTTGGGGCAAATTTGTTACCTCACTACAATCTAGCCTATCTTGACTAATGTTGTATTAAATTAATCCTGATTGTGAACTTGGATTTAGTAATCCTTTACTGTATAATCCTTTTTCTCAGGTAGTTCCAGGCATTCACCAAGGAAATTTTTCCAAACAGAATGAAACAATGATAGACTTAAGCATTCGGCCTTCCCCCAATTTCACGCTCATGATCCCTCTTGAAGAAAATACCGAGAGTTCTAACTTCATAAGCTACATGCTGGAAAAAGCTATACAGCATTTTAAGGAACTTTTTAAAACTTGGTAAACAGAGTGCCTGACTAGGAATGCTTTGTTGACAGACACACGATTCATAAAAGAAAAAACTAGTTTTAAAATACCCAGAAAGTATGTTCAACCTCATTAATAATCAAATACATGAAAACTAAGAAGACAAAAATAGCATTTTTTGCCTATCAAATTTGCAAAAGAGAAAAAAACCCAAATTTCTGATAGGAGTGTGATAAAATGGGAGTTCTTATATATTGTTTTTGCGAATATAAGCTGTTTTGCCTTTTTAAAAAGCTACATGATTATGCATGCCCAGAGCCATAAAATTTCTATTCGATACAATAACTCCACTTTTGGAATCAATCCTAAGGAATAAATCTAAATTTGATTAAAAGCCCCCTCCATACCCGAAGATCTACATTTGCAAAATTACTTAAGATAGTAAAATATTAAGAACACTCTTGATTTTCTAAAAACAAGAGAATGATTAAGTAGATTATGGCTAAATAGCTTCTAAATTAGTGACACAATTAAAACTGTATGTAACACTATCCTTTGGTAATATATTCAATCTTAAAGAATGATTAAAATTTAATTCGCAGTTATTCATTAGAGACCTTGTTAGTAGGTCACCATCAATATATAATTAAGCTACATATTACTGGATTTGCTGCCTCCATCTTTACCTCTGAGTTCTAGAGAAATTTTTTTCAATTTATAGTAGTCAAACAACCAATATCTTTTAAGCCATTTATAAGTGAAGACACAGGATGCAGGCACTGTGGAGAGGTAGTAATGAATTCAATAAGATCCTTTCCCAAATGAGCTTTCTATTCAGTGGGGGGTGGGGGATTGTAAGAGACACACACAGAGAACAGTCATGCAAAGCATTCTGTGAGTGCCCAAGGGTGAGGGCCTCTGGAAGTTGAAGGGAGGGTCACTTACTTTCCTAAAGTGGGAGAAACTTCTCAGTTGAACATATTTCCTTTTTTTTCCCTTTCCCACTAGCCTTTTCTCTCCTCTCCTTTGTTCTTTTCCTTCCTCTCCTCCCTACCACTCTTACTTCTCCCTTCCTTTCTTTAAAAAAAAGATATATACCTATATAAAATTTTATTTTATATACACATGTATAATTTTATTTTATATGTAAATATGTATAATGTGTATTTTATTTTATATGTATAAAATAAAAATGTGGAGGTGGGAGGTGGGAAATTCCCCAAAAAATTTCAAAAAAGGGGAAAGTGTGCGTAAACAGCAAGAAGGAGTGGGGTGTTTTGGCACTAGGGATGTTGAGAAGTACCATTAAACCTATCTCTCCCAATAGGGGCTTCCGTGCTTCCTATGTTCAGGAACCTCCACCTACGGTGAGTTTGGGTTCTTTAGTTGTGGTAACGAAGACCAACTCAGCTAAAAGATATGGAAGAATACTGTCTCACAAAATCAAAGGGGAAGTTGGACAACCATACCTGGGGCTCAAACTTTTAGAGCACAGTGAGACACTAAGTTTTTGAGAAGAAAACAATGTGCTAGTGTTCAAATAGGTATTGACTGTGCATTTATATCCAAATAAAAATATTTAAGAAAACCTTTTTTCTTTTATTTATTCTAGAGAGTGGGGAAGGGAGGGAGAAAGAGAGGGAGAGAAACATCAGTGTGAGAGAGGGACCAAACCTGCAACCCAGGCATGTGTTCAGACCAGGAATCGAACCCATGCCCTTTTGGTTTGCAAGACAACACACAACCAACTGAGCCAAATTAACTAGGGTCAAATAAAAATATTTTCAATAAAATCATCTGTTTGCAGACTTTGTAATGATGAGGGTGCAATGACAATGTAAAAGAAGATATTGAAAAATTGAGATATTGAGTATATTATTTACTAATAAGCCTCACAAGGTGATCTTTTACAAAGACAGTCTTAATTTTTCTTTTTAGTTTATTGTTCTTAAATTCTAAAAGTAAAAAAATCATAAATTCCAAAAATTTAGAAGACAAAAATTATACATAATTTCACCATTTCAAAAGAATTATCATCTTACTATTTTTTCTTATTCACATTATCTCTGATTTTCTTAGATGGATTCCCAGAAATGGAATTATTTGTTTAAAGGTTGACATTTTCTTTTTCTTGATATATAGTGCCAATATGATAGCAGTAATGTCTGAAGTACCACTTTCTCATATCCAAGGTAGCATTTCAATTTTTAAAACTTTACTAATAAATGAAAATTTCATCTTGCCATTATAGCTTGTATGTTTTTGATCATTCAAGAGAATGAACATTTTTCCAACTGAATTTCTTCTTTTGTGCATCCTACTCAACAGAGTGAATAAGATTTGTCAGTATTCTGATTATATCGGCTCCTCGGGGTCTCAAACCTACCAACAGTGAGAGAGAAAAATACTAAGGAAAAGATGGAGGAAAAGAATTACCTCATGATTTCCAATCATGTAAATATCTGGTGCCCTAGTTGCAAATATGTAGCTTGCTAAAACATGAATTCCAATTTTATAGGATGGAGCTTTTATCTAGAACCCTCTTCTGGAATTCTCAGCAAGTAATTTAGCTTCTTGAGTGCCTGCCTTTCTTGATTGGTCTGCAGAAGTGTTTAATTTCCATATCCCAAACTTTCACAACTGCCAGGACTGGTATCAGCATTTACAGGCTGTAACAGAACATTTTGCACATCCTAAGTAGTCAATATGCATTTGTTGATTGGTTCTTACCTACATGATCATCATTAAGGCATACATAAAAAAACTCCTTGATTAAAATAATAAGTCATGTCAATAGAAGGATCACTGCCACCAAGCCAGGGCCAACAGGAGTCCCCAGTCTGAAGTGCAGTAAAAAGAGAAACTTTATTCAGGTGGACAGTTTCCAAACCAGAGAAATACAGTCTCAGGTGGAAACTGAAAGTGTGCTCCTTAGACATGTAGGGGAGGCCCACTTACACAAAGTACTGGCCCTGCATGGACCATTTGCATAAAAATGGTCCCTGATTTGTCCGTTTTATGCAAATGAGGAATTCAAATTTGCATAGTTGATTGGTCCAAATAGCGAATGGTTGAAATTGTGCATCCTGATTTGTTGTTATGGAGTTGCTCTAATTGGTCAATAAAGATGCAAATGAAGGTGTAGCTGCTCAGCTCCCTGTGAACAGAGCAGGTCTCAGCCCATTGGTTGAAATAGGATTCCAGGAATTCCTTTATAAGGGTGGGCTCAGCCTGCGGGAACATAGTGCAGGAGGCTTAGCTGCTCAGTCAGTGTGTTTTCCTGGATATTTGGTGTGCTTGAGAGATCTCTGTCAGCAATGTTTGCTTGACTCTTGTTAGGAATTTAGGCCCAATTACCATGGGGAGTCCTTCTTGGCAGATATATTCCTTCTTGGGGTCAACAGTCACAAGCAACAGAAGTTTAATGAGCAAACGTTGTGTATACAGAGTAAGGAACAAACACTTTGATTTTACATCAGAGCCAGGGTCCATCATAGAAGTTCATCAAACCAGGGGAACTGTGAAGATCTCTTCAAATAGTGCTATTAAAAATATCCATACATAAGGGTTTTCAGTTATTTTGCTTTGTGTTAATTTTTTCAAAAGCCAACAGTATTTATTCTATTACTCATCTGTACTTTTATTCCAAGAAAAAATATACTCAGTCTATAAGTAATTTATTAATATTTTGATCATTGCTTTTTTAAAAAAAGGTAAGAAGATCTGATGCATCCTATACACAGCAAGTAGAATAGAATTATTTCTTCAGCTGAGACCTGGAAGTCCTGAAATACATAGGATAATACAATAAACATAGTTGCAGGAATGTTTGTCAGTTACATATTATGAAGTATTATTAATTCTCTTACATTGAATGGCAGTTTAATAGCTATTCACATTGGGTTACAATAAAAATTTCTTTACAAAATATCAAATGTACATATTACTATAGTCTATGGTACATTAATAGTTCTTATATTAATATGTGTTTATATATTAAACATTAAATCACCATGGTATCTGTGTTCTGTCACTTCTACTATACATATCCCAATTTCTAATTAACAAAGCATTCTTCTTTCAATTTGTTTTTTAATTTAATGTATAAAAATTAACTTTTTGAAAAAATATGTAATTCATGCCTTTGTTTAGTAAAGACCTATGGCTTCCACATAAGGTTTGTGTGTATGTAGTGAAACATATATAACTATTTTAACCATTTTAAGTGTACAATTTGGTGGCATTATGTATATTCAGTGTTGTACAGCCATCACCACCATCCATTTCCACAACTTTTTCATCTTCACAAACTGAAACTCTTCCAGTTAAACAATGACTCTCCGTTTCTCCCTTCTCTCAGCCCTTTGAAACCACCATTCTACTTTCTGTCTCTAAACACTTGACTAGTCTAGGTTTCTCATATAAATGGAATTATACAGTATCTGTCCTTTTGTGACTGGCTTATTTCACTTAGCATAATGTCTTCAAGGTTTACTCATATGGTCACATGTGTCAGAATTCCCTTACTTTTTTAAGCTGAATACTAGTCCATTATATGTGTGTATCACATTTTGTTTATCCATTAATCTTTTGATTAACACTTGGGTTGCTTCCACCTTTTGGACTTTGTGAATAATGCTGCTATGAATATGGGTGCCCTACATAGTTTCTTTTTAAAATTAACACAATAGTGCTCTCTTTTTTAATGTATACAACATGTCATACACATTTTATGAAAAACACAAGATGTTTTTGACACTTGTATAACCTCATAATTTGGTCCTTGGTTCCATAGAACAATATGAGAGACATTTGCCAGTATATGTCACTAAGAATTACATCAGGGATATATTTATAATTAGTCTTTCAAATTCTAAATGGAAATATATTTAAAGAGTGGACTCAAAACCTTTGAAACATTTTTCAACCCAGTCTTGAGCTATTTGATAGGAAGGCTTGTAAGAGAAAGAGTTCAGAGGCAGTTCATTCAATATAATCAACTCCATATAAAGATAAAGCCTTTCCAATTATAACCGA